AGCTGGAACACAGGAGTCTCCGCTTAAACTTGAGAAGAAGCTTCTTTCCTGTGAGGGTGACGGAGCACTGGAACAGGCTGCCCAGGGAGGTTGTGGAGTCTCCTTCTCTGTAGACATTCAAAACCCGCCTGAACGCCTTTCTATGTGATCTCATTTAGGTTCCTGTTCCGGCAGGGGGATTGGACTAGATGATCTTTCGAGGTCCCTTCCAATCCCTGACATTCTGTGATTCTGTGAGTCTGTGAGTCTGTGATTCTGTAATTCACCTTGCTCAGGCTGGCTACCTTGGGTTTGTGTGCACTGCAGCATATAAATTGCGTCTCCAGAGTAGGTAGTGTGAAGATTCATTCTGAGATGCTGAGCCAAAACAGTCTGAGTGTCCTGTTCTTTAAATATTGTGTGCTTTTTAATATAAATATGTATGCATATTTGCTAACAAGTATTAATTTTATAATATGTAGGAATTTGATAAAGCCAACACACAGAGAGTGCATCAGTTATTTTGGGAGATTGACGAAATGCTGTTTGAAGGAAAAGTGACCTCCCAAACTCAGAACCTGCAGGCAGAATGTGCAGACTGGGTTGAACTGTTTCCTCATCTAAGGTAAGGAAATTTCTTGCTGGTACTAGTTTTAACCAGTTATCACTCTAATTTGAATTTTCGGGGTACCCTTGTATGAATTGCTCTTGTTGTATGGCATCAGTAACGCCTTTGCATTCAAATCTGGATCTCTGGGACTGAGCTTTGCCATAATTACACAATAAATCTGGGTGCTGGTGCACTATAGCAGCTAATACTCTTTATTTTGCTTAATTACAATAATTGCAAAGATATTTTAGCAGAATGTAATGTGAAAATAATAATGCACCATTTTCTTAATGACTTTTTCTAAATAAAATGCATCTTGTAAAGATTTTTTTTTTTTAATGTAAGTGAAGACATACTGTGAAATTCCAAGAAATTCACTGTTAACTCTGTTACTGATTCTTCTAAAAAGAAATGAAAAATGAAGGTGACCACATGCTTCACATAACCTAGGAAGACATTATGACTGTGCAGTGTATGTAAATCAGTGTAAAACAATGTGTGATATTAACCTGGCAATAACTAGTTGAACAGATATGAGGATGCATACATGATTAATGAGAATTATTTTGCATAGATGTGCAAAATGTCCAGGCAGCCCCATGACTGCTTCTTATAACACAGGGGACAGTGAAAGCTATCCTTCTTTTTAATTTGTAAAACAGCTAAGTATGAATACTTAGCTCAGCATGTGGGAATAAATATAGTTGAGAACTGTCATCAATAAGAGAAAGATCAGATCTGTTTAAAGGAAAACTTTTTGTTCTTGGCTTACAAAATAAAAATTAAAAAATGGTATTGCTTAGAGCTTTATGTGGCATAAAGCACTGTTGTGTAAAAGGTAGTCTCAAGAAATTGCCTTCAGATGAGTTTGAGCATTGCCACTTTCACTGCAGCTACGACTGGCAAATTCTTTCAAGATCCTTTGTGAATTCTAGTGAAAAACAGTTCAGTGATTATTATTTACCTATACTGTGTTTATAGAGTAATTTTGTCTACATTTAAATAGAATTGCTTTTACCTTTTCTTTCTGCCTCTGTATTATGCATGTTGGAGTTTGTGCATTTCTGCACATGAATTCTAGCTTTAACTATCCATGTAAACATTTTGGATTAGGACTTCTGCTCACATTGATGGTTACTGGAGTTGGATAAGTGAAGTCATAGCAGATTTTATGTGTCTTCTGCATCCATTGTTAAATATTTCTTAGGGAGTTTTGGTAAGAAAGAAAGTGTGTTTACTTTATCTGCCTTTAGAACCGTCTAACAAGTTCGACTACTTGCTCTTAAAAATTATAAGCTAGAATCTAATCTTGCATATATCAGATTAACTTTAATGATTTAAATACTAGGCAATGTGTTGCACAAGGCCATGGTCCCTTCCTAAATGGGTTTTTCAAAGCAAATGTAAGGTGTATTTCCTCATTGCCTACTCCTTGCAGGTATTTGTATTCTTGATATTTGCATATGGAGTGTATTTCCATCTAAGATACTGCTTGCTCTCTCCTTTTTATTCAGGGTTCTAGGAAAGCAGCTCCTATTGCCAAAGGATGAAGGCTTTCAGCATTTTCAGAGCAGAAGCGATACCTGTGTGGATACTAAGTGTTTACCTGGCCTCCGTGAATGTACTAGTAATATAAAAGAGTATGTGAATTTTTTTAAGTATTCTTTTTGGTCTTCCCTCTTCAGAAATATGTACAAATACTACTTTTGTATTACTGAAACATTCAGTATAATAAAATGGGCACTTTCTTCTTTCTTTGAATATTTAATTCTCATTTTGTTGATATTTTTTTTCAGGCTCTGCATTTCAGGCTCTAAACTGATCCCAACAACATCTCCAATACATAAACCACTAGATTCAGATTCCACTAGGACTTCTGCCTCTGAATCATCCCTGTATTCATTCCTGGAAGAAGAAATCTATGATATGGATGGAAAAATAGAAGAATATCTTGCCTTTGACAACAAGGAGCTGTAAATAACAGATATATGTGTTTTTGAAGAATATAATGAAAAATTAATCAGTGAACTCAGGGTTCATAAACTATATTTCTTCTGTATAAAATACAGTTCCTTCTGCCTCTGTGTTTGGTAGCACAGTGGTCAGAGCATTCACTGGGCATGTGGAAGATTAGGTATGTGTTTCTAGTGGTTCAAAACTCGCCTCTCCCGTGTCAGAGGAATGAGTCTTAACCACTAGTTGTTTTGAAGTGTTTTGTGCATGGCGATCCAATAAAATGAGTATGTAGTTTTGAGAGAGGGAGTAGAATGAAGGAATTCCTTCTTCCCAAGTGAACACCTTGACCACCAGGTTGTTTAGAGTCATAACACTGTACATGTTCTTGCTATCTGCCCTAACGAATCTTAAATTCTTTCTGTGCAGTGTACAACAGCTTTGTGAGGAGAGGTGCAGGATACAAACTGCGTTTAGAACACTCTTGTGAGTGACAGGAAGCATGCGGCTGTCTTCCTGACATCACAACCTAGGTTTCCCCGTGAGCCAGTTGAATGTTCCAGCAACTAGGCTACTGGGTGAATGAAAGATCATAATGTGCTGTTTTCTAAAAGGCCTCTATGAGGGGGAAACTTTCATAGGACTAGTGGGGCACAAAGCATAGCTTTTTGTGCTAAAGCTTGATACACTTACAGGAAAAGCCATGGTTGTTCTGAGAAACTGAAGAACCAGACAGACCTTTTCAGTCCTGTTTTGAATGAGAGCCAGCCTGTTTTGAAAGACAGCCTGGGTGGCTGTCTTTGGAAAGGGTTTGGGTTTAAGGATCCTCTTCATTTTGATGAGTAAGCAAACTTAATTTGGGAGTGACTGAAAATGCATTTCTCTCCTTTGTGCCTCCTTGATGTGTTGTTTCTTCTTTCCTTCAATTCTGAAATAGCTTGTTCTCAATAACTAAAACCTCAGGTGTTACAGAGCCTGATACGAAAATAGGTTGGTCATTTTGTGAGTTGGACCATTCAGCTAAGTCTCAATTATAGTTAAGAAGTTTGCAGTCCGGTTTGAGGAAGAAGTGAAGTGATTCAGAAGGGTGAGGGAGATAGTAGAAACCAGTATGACTTTGGGGTCATCCTTGTAATCTCAAAAAAAATTGCATTTCCTTAGAAAGGAATAGGATAGCATTAAAAAAAGAAAAAGCTTAAAACTTTCTTCTGGAGAGGTGAATTAGAAGACCAAATTAGGAAATGTTGCTACACTGTGCTTCCCTAGGTAGGGAGAGAGAGGAAAAAAAAAATAAAAAATTAGATGTGTAACTGTCCACACAGTAGTGGAAGGGAAGGAGGGCGAAGGTTGTGGGCTCTGCTGTTCTTGTCCAGCTGCAGAAACCCTTTAAAGTTGTTTGTCTTTGAGCAGCAATGGAGCGTTGCAGATGTGTGCGGGTACACAGGACATGAAAAAAAAAGAAATGGGATAGTCTTCCTGCCAAATACAACAGACAATAGTTCCCTTATGGTAAAAAGCATAGGACTTCATTTCAAATGACTAAGTGCCACATATAAAGCTGTTTCTTCTAGAGCTGCAGATCTTTGTTGTAATGGCCTGACTGTATCTTTTAATTTTTCACCTGCAAGCAAAAGAAAAATAAATCATTATATGGTATTCAATAGATTCTGTTCCCATAGGTACTCTGTACATTTGAATTTGAATTTTTTTGTGATCTGTGTCTGACTGGCTTTTCTTCCGTATGTATGTTTCTGTTGTTCATGTGGTATATTAGAAGGAGGGAAAAAAAAGTCAAAACCCATGGGAATTCACTTGAATTTGCTTCCTTTATTAGAGGTGATGAGAGTTGGGAACAAAAGAAGATGTGTCTTGCTGAGAAGAGGAGTAAGCGTGGCATTCCCCCTGTTTCTCCCAGTGCCTGTATCAAAGATGCCGTGGCTTCTGAAGTATTTGATCATATCTGGAGCAATGTAATTGGAATACTGGAGGAACTGATTAAAAAAAATTGTGAAGATAGTATCACAGGTATTTGGTATTTTTAGATATGGTATTTATTGAATCTAACTCAGGAAAGTGATATTTATTTCTTAAAGATTGGGAAATCAGTTATTTTAAGATAGCTGTGTTGGTAGTACAGCATTGTAAGATATGTAATGCCTTGTCATGTTCATACGTGTACACCCACACCCCTCCCTGCCCATAAAATATAAACATTCCTACTAATTTTCAGGGAGTTTTGTATGAGTGGTGTGAAAAAAGGAAGCATACTGACCGAAAGAACTTAATTGCAGGAAAGCTTTGGTTGGTTTTTTTTTTTAATCTTAATCACTGGCTTTGGATGCAAATTGATTCTGTTAGCAGGGGATCACTGATGATGTGATCTGAATCTGGAACTAGGAATCAGAATCTCCTGGTCCTCATTGTTTGAGCTTTGTTCATGAAAACAACCCTTATGCAGTCAGACTTAAAGTGAGACAGCCTTACTGACAGTGCAGGAGTTCATGAGTTTAATCTAGTAGGATGAAGAAATGATGGTGCAGGTAATTTTGGGTTTTCTTTTTTTGTATTCTAACAGACTGTAGTGAGGAAAAGCAAAAGCTAGGAAAATTAACGAGAAGTGAAATTCTATTTAGTGTGCATGTGTTGTCTTTGGAGACAGAGGGAAATTTCAGTTCTTCATTTAATCTATTTTAAAAGGTTAGTAACAGAAGAATAAATGGGGGTGGGTTTGGGAAATTACTTCAAATTTAGGGTCCACTCAATTCAAAGGTAAGTCTACAACAAAGAAAGAAATGGCAAAATTTCGCAGAATACTTGCAGCATCAGAACTTAACATTTCAGATGTTACTGAAATATAAAAGGGCTTTTCACATCACGCATGGATTGCTTGGTTCAATATTATAGTTTAGGAAGGATAGCTTAGCAGTTTTATGATGTGTGCTCTTTCACCTTTATGAAGGGCATAAATTTAGGATTAATAGGTAGCTAACCAAAGTATTTCAACTAGGAGTGTAAAAGAATTTAGTTTTATGATAGAAATAAGATGGTGGTATATGCCCAAAATGAAACAGTGTGTA